GCCCTTTGCAAGCTTAATTTATATTACTCTGGTCCACCATTTTAGAGTCTTTCACTCAGGCTCCCAATATGGCAGGATCCCTTAGGAAAGGCCTCAACATGTCAGGGACATCTTAAGTTTCAAGATCTCTGCCTTGCCAGAGTGTATGTGGCTCAGTACCAGGGCTTTTTGAAAATGGAGAGGGAGTGTGAGCCCTTCCCCTGGTTTAGAACAAGGTAGCTTGGGCAAGGGATTTCCACTGGTGGCTAAAGCAAAGTGTAGTATCTGACGCTGAGTTTACCCACAGAGTTTTATCTGTCCAGTCTTTTACTGCTGAAATATTTCCTCATTTATGACTACTCTACATCTTCATTTTTTTTCCTTCTTGCTTTTCCTAATGTGTTCATGTTTGTTTCCAATAAGATGCACGTTTATAATGTCCAGGATTCAAACCTGACACCGGAAGCTATTTTTAGGAAGAATCTTTGAAATAAGTACCATATGAGTGCAGCCCTCAACATAGCAGGGACAATGAGACTGAAGATCCCTTTTATTGCTTTATCACTGGTCCTGTGGATAATGGGGGCCTGGGGACAGCTTTGGTGTTAAAGGAAGGGGCACTCCAAATCTGCTCTTCCTTTTCTGTTCAGTCCCTCCCCTCACCTTCTGTGGCCCAGAGCCAGGAAGCTTTTGTGAAAGTTGTTACTGGTTAAAACAGCCTCATTCACTGATAAAGGTAGAACATGGAATTTACTTCTTTTGTCTTCCATTTTCTGAATGCTAGCTAGTCCAGAATTATCTTTTTGAAGACTTCCTAGTTCTGTAGGTACAAATTTTCTTATGATTTTGGCATCCTCTTAGTTTCGTAACGTCCCACTTGTCTTTAAATTCTTATTGTAAGTTTGAGGATTTGTTAAAGTAGCATAGCTGTGAAGGACGTAAGATCCCCTTTAAAGCTGTTTTATGAAGAGTTGTAGCTATAAGGGTTTAAAGACATAGGTGCGGAAGAGCTGAGAAAAGGATGATAGTTGTGGGTTATGTCTACTATAATTTTATATGCTGTGTCAATTTCCTCTTTTAAATTGAGTCCCATAAATTTGGCAACTTAGAACAGACCTTAGTATTCAGGGTCTCTATGTTTTAATTTCTGGATACTGTTAGCTATTTTAGAAAAAAAACAGTCTGCATTTGCTATAAGCAGGGTAGATTTAGAGCAGGGAATTATATTTCAGTATAATATTGGGCTCCAGATGTGGTTGAGGTTAATTTTAAGGCAGGCTAGCATGAAGTGGTTGGAGAGAATTAATACTGCTAGGGAAGGGGGTTTTTTGGGTGGACATCCATTTGGCCCAGGTAACTGGTGTGAATAGGATACAGACTCCCTTGAAAATGTATATTACTTAATGTTTATATTCAGATACATAAAATATACTTTGTATTTGTCATATATTCAAACAATACTAAAATATTTAAAGACAGGGAAAGTTCCTGTTAACTTATTCCTCCAGAAATAATTACCAGACTTAATTGTTGGTGGAGAGAACAGCTGTGCCGTGTATCTGCCAGGTCAGGTAGGCAGTGACCTGACAGCCCTAGGGCTGTTTCTGAGGGATTATTCTAGGAATTTTCTGTGCTTATATTAAGGTATTCATTAACATTGTTTTGTTATGCTAGAAATAATAGTTATACTAGATATAATATTTACATCTTTTTTCACTCATGACTCATGGTTAAACCAAAAAACCAAACCCATTGCCATCGAGTTGATTCCGGCCCGTAGCGACCTATAGGGCAGAGAACTCTAAACTGTAGGGTTTCAATGGCTGTAATCTTTACAGAAACAGATTGCCGCATCTTTCTCCCCCAGAGCAGCTGGTGAGTTCTAACCATGGACCTTTCATTTAGCAGCAGAGTGCTTAACCACTGTGCCACCAGGGCTCCTTTTACCCATGGTTACATGTTCATAAATAAATAAGTTCTGTCTTGTTGCCTTTATTAATTTTATGGTTTATTTTTTGAGTAACATAATTTTCAACCAAAACTTTTTTACTTTTGAGTTTTATTTGCTATTATACGCGAATGAGTTTGGATGATATTTCTGTAAGATAATTTAAGAATTTCTGAGTGAAAGATTATACATTTAAATTTTTTTTATTTCTGATTACCCTCTCAAGGATAAATTTACACTTTTAAAAGTCTTAAGTTTTTTTTCCCCCCACATTCTGGCCAAAACAAAAATATTACTTGTTTTTATAATTCTAAAAATTTAAAACAAAACACATGATTATTTAATTTAAATATTTTTATATATTCATAAATACTGTCTTATATTTATTAGACTTATCTGCACTCCTATTTTTTTGCACTTTTAGAGATTTTACATTTTATTGGCTCCATTGTCAGTAGAAGTCATCAGATTCATATTGAGGTCTGTATCCCAAAAGTACCTCAGTTTTTAATCTTGTTACAATCTTTAGGTTTTTTTTTTTTTTTGGCCCCAGACATTCTCCCTCACTCAACATTATTTTTTTTTGAGATTCCTGTATGTTGTTGGCAGTCTTCATTTTTGTTGCTGTGTATCCAGCCACAAAATCATTTAAAGACTATAAGAATGTTTCCTTTATCAGAGGTCGGTTGATGAGGTTCTGATTCTTGTACACTTCAGGAAGTTTTTTGGAAGTGTCTTCACTTTCATGTTCAACAGGAAGTTTGGTTCTCACATTATGAAAGAAGTTTTATAAAGCTGAAATGCAGCTTTAATCTGGAAAATCCAAATCTGTTTTTTGGTGATTGATTTTTGTAACTTCTGTATAGATGAAGATGTTTGGTAGGGAAAATTGTTCATGTGTGGAGGGGTCCTTGTCATGTAGCTATTGCATCTTCACCTTGATAAGATGTACTTAGGCCATCCACTTACATTCTGAGAATCAGAATTATGTCAGGGCAGGTTGTTGGTAGTTTTAAGATAAGTGGGATGCCGATAATCTCTCTTTTCTAATTCAATTAATTGGAAATATAGTGTAGTTTTGTCAGTCAAAACATTTGATTATCTGTGGCAATGTAAGAAATGTTTTTATTGATATAATTCACTATGTACACAAGATTGAGTAACTATCACCATTATCTTAATTTCAGAACATTTCAACACCCCAAAAGGAAACCATGCGCACTCATTAGGAGTCACTCCACATTCTCACCTTTGCCCAGCTGCTGACAACCATGAATCTACTTTCTGTCCTTATGAAATGGGCTGTCCTGAACATGTCATATAAATGGAGTTACATACTATGTGGCCTTGTATGTCTGGCTCTTTCACTTAGACTAATGTTTTCAAGATTGATCCATGTTGTGGCATGAATCAGTACTTCATTCCTTTTTATGACTCAATGCTATTCAGTTGTGTTGTGTATACCATACCACACCATATTTATTTATTCCTTACTCAATTGATGTATGTTTGGATTGTTTCCACTCTATTATGAATAATGCTACTAGGAACATTGCTGTATGAGTTTATGTATTTATTTCTTTTGGGTGTATGTCTATGAGTAGACAAATTGGGTCATATATTAACTTGATATTAACATTTTTAGGAATTGCTAGACTGTTTTCCAAAGCATCTTCACCATTTTACATTCCCACCAGCAGTGTTCGGTAATTACAATTTGTCCACATCCTCACCAGCACGTTATTTTTTTTTTTTTTTAATTAATTGGCTGGAAAGGAGCATCTTATTGTGCTTTTGATTTGCATTTCCCTAAAGGCTAATGATGTTTACTGTCTTTTCATGTGCTGATTGGCCATTTGTATGTCTTTGGAGAACTGTCTATTCAAATGTTTTGCCCACTTTTAAGTTGGGTTATTTGTGTTTTTATTGTTGAGTTGTTAAGAGCTCTTTATTAGACTCTTATCAGTTCTACAATTTGCAAATAATTTCTCCAATTCTGCTGTTTGTCCTCACTTTCTTAAGTGTCCTTTGAAGGAAGAGCATTTTTATTTTGTTTTTAAACATTTTGATGAAGTCCAGTTTATCTGTTTTTTCTTTTGTTTGCAGTATAGGTGTCATATCTATAAGAAATCATTGCCTGATCCAAGGACGAAAATACAGCAACGTATATAATTGTATCATTTAAAGATCTAATCTATCTGAATTTTTATGGTCTTTTCTATTGCTTGATTAGGATATTCAGGGTTCTTGAAGTAATAAACAACATATGTAGTTGGTAAGTCATTTGACTGTTTGCGTAGTATGGAGCCCTGGTAGTGCAGTGGTTAAGAGCTCAGCTGCTAACCAAAAATGTCAGCAGTTTGAATCCACCAGTCGCTCCTTGGAAACTTTTGCGGCAGTTCTCCTCTGACCTGTAGGGTCACTGTGAGTCAGGATCGAGTCGATAGTGGAGGTGGAGGTTGCGTAATATAACATTTTTTTTTTTAATAGCTAGGGTTCAGAGAATTCCCTTTTGGGACGTGTCCTTTTGAATTCTCCCTTTGAATTGTTTTACTGCATTTCTCTTTGTGAAATGTCTCTTCTTCTGTTCTTTATGATTTAGCGTTTCAAAATTGGAATTTTAGGAATGGTTCCTGTAGTTCCTAACATGGCAAAAGTGTGGGATGTTTTATGCAGTCACCTTGAGCGGCCATTTTGTGAGTTGTTCTGAAGACCATAATATGGCAATACTTAAACATGGGTCATTTGCTTAAGCAGCGCGTTTTCTTTTGCAAATCCTGACAGTATTTGCACATGAGGTTGCTTATGTAGACATTTTCTAATTTAAACTTAATGTTCTACCATTCATATATACAAAAGAATCATTATATACATATGTTTTTGGAAAATAGCTTTGCTAGTTTTTTTGGAGACATTGGGTGGGTGGAGGTGGGGGAGTGTGTGTGTGTGTGTGTGTGTGTATATCTGCATATGTGTATGTATTATATATGGATATGTGAATATACATAGACAAAAAACAAACCAAACCTTTTGCCATCTAGTTGATTCCCACTCATAGTGACCCTATAGGACAGGGTAGATCTGCCCCATATGACTTCCAAGGAGCAGCTGGTGGATTTGAATTGCTGGCCTTTTTGTTAACAGCCAAGCTCTTAAGCACTGTGCTGCTATATATTTGCTTTGTTTCATGACATTTTTTTTCCACCAGGTTTTGTGATGCGAAGGGAATTTTTGAAGGGAGAAAGAAAGTAGCTAAGGACAGACTCTGACTTTGGAGGATGAAGACCTACTAATTTTGAATTTTGTTTTAATTGGATTGTGGACAGTTAAAATTTCAGCATATTAATTTAGTTCTAAATATAATCTTGAAATACACGATTGTTTCATAAATTGATAAATTCCATCAGACAAATCCTCTTTTTCTATTTCAGGGACCGCTTACATCTTAGACGAACTACAGAACAGCACGTTCCAGAGGTGGAAGTCCAAGTCAAACGCAGAAGGACAGCCTCACTGAACAACCAAGAGTGAGTAAAACCTGGGTTGAGAACTAATTCAGGTCAGAATCCTGTTTCATGTTGAAGCAAACTATCATTCATTTATGGAATTAAAATGAATTTAATTAATGGAAGAAGCAAATGGACCTAATACAGGAGTTGCTGGGAAGAATGCAGTGACGTCCTTAATTGTGGTGTCCTAACCTAATACAACCTCTGTTAAGACTTCAGGGTAATGTTTTTACTTTTTTTCCCCATACATGTATTAGGTGGGTTTTATATTTATAACATTGTATATTTATCATTCAGCAAGTGTACAGTTGAATAATTTCTGCTTTATTAGTTATGTTGTTAAATCACTATGTATGCCTGCAAAAGGCTGTATACATTGAAGTGACATTAACTTACATTTTTATTCTTGCTTGGCAATAATTAGGTTTGATTTTCCCTTTTTTTTTGGTTAGTATATTTCTTCTGTTGAAAATTTAAAATATATTTGCATTTGTTTCCCTTGGTTTGGGACCTGTTGCTACCATTTGAAGTTCCATTCATGCTATGTAGAGTTACCTATGAATGCCTGGGCCCCTCAAGAAAAAGCCAGCCTTAGCTAGTAAAAATTCCGTATGTTAACTCAGATTGATTTATTTCAAGATAACTGTGTTTAAAAGGAAAGACTGTGTTTCAGTGTACTTTATTGGGTCCCAGAATTAAGGAGTTAATCATGTGAATCGTAGTCTCCCCAAGGAGTATAGGTAGGTCATTATCTTCACTTACCCACTGCCATCCGGTCAATTCCGACCTACAGAGACCATATAGGACAGAGTAGAACTACCCCATAGGGTTTCCAAGGTGTAAATCTTTAAGGAAGCAGACTGCCACATCTTACCTCCGCAGAGCTGTTGGTGGGTTCAAACTGCCAACCCTTAGGTTAGCAGCCAAGCATTTTAACCACTGTGCCACCAGGGTGCCTATCTGCACTTAGAGATACAAATTATTCTACTGTAGGAGGATTTGTAGGATTTCTTGCCTAAATTTCACGCTTGAATGACAAGGACATTAGGAAGGACATATTACCCTCCCTCCGCAGGTGGTGAGGACTAGAAAGAAAAGATCAACAACAAAAAGCCAATTTTTTTTTCAACCTTGGGAAAAATGACTAGACTTAGTCATAGTCCCACTGCTTATGGTGGTTCTCATTTGTTGTGGCTGCTTCTCCACATCATGATACATTCCCAGATGTTTTCTTGTAGATTTAACTGAGCTCATAAGGTTGTTTTCATCATTTGACCTTTTTGGTGGCTTTAGTTTCTCTCTGACTTCTAGAAGTACAAATATTAAAAATTTTGTTAGATAGATTTTCAGTATTTACTGTGACTATTTTTTCTCTATTTTCAAATATTAGCGTATTCTGCCCTTTCAGAAATTTGATAAAAGACATTTGGAGAATCATAGGAAAGTTAAAAGGCTACGATGTGGTACGGCAGGTGACTTTTTTTTTTTTTTTTTTTTTTCAGGCTCATCTTGTTACCTAGTAAACTTTATCACTTCCTACACTGTTTCCTTCTCCCTGTGATCAGATTTGTAGCTGGGTTACTAATCTGTGTGGGTGTGTTAAGGGCTTTTCTCTGGAATAGATAAAAATAATTTCAGAGCCCTTAAATAACCATGGTCCTGACAGGTCTGTTTCTGGTAGTGACTTTCAAGAACTCATGGATGACAGCCTTAATGGCTCACTAAAAATGCCTTAGGAAATGCTACCTAGCCCCCAAACGATTGTTTCCAGATAGAATGATCGGCAAGTAAGTGGTAGATGTACTGATCATGTTTCTATAGGGCTTTTTAAACCTAAAGGAGCTTTTGGTTTTCTAGTTCCTTGGAAGTATTCCCAGTCTTGATAGGTATCCTCTAGTTCCTTTTACTTCCTCAGGTGCAGAGATGCTCCTGTTTTCTGTTTTATAGTTTTTTCATAAGGTAATGGCATGCTTTAACCCTAACTAAAGATCTTTTTAAATGTAAGGGTCTCTACTTTTTCTTTCATATGATTATCCGTATAGACATATGTTTCCTTATCATTTATGAGTGTGTATCCTCCTCTTATGATAGGTGTCAGTTGTACCCAAGGCGTTCCCAGCAGCAGCAAGTACCTGTGGTGGATTTCCAGGCAGAACTGAGACAGGCATTCTTGGCTGAGACCCCAAGAGGTGGTTAAAGTGGTATTGGAAGCCGATTGCAACAGAAAACCAGGTTAGAGCTGATGAAGTAATGATCAGGTATAAAGAAATTGTTAAAGAAAGGATATTTGGGATCAACTTAATTTTCTGGAACAGGTTTAAAGAAGAAAAAAGTTTTACCTTAGAAATTCACATAACAACGTTGCAGGAAGTTTAAAAAAGTAAAAGCAGTATCCTCCCCGACACTTTTGTAACGTGTATATTGCCTTCCAATCTTTATTAAAAAATGTACCTAGTTGCCATTGGGTCGATTCTGACTCATGGCAACCCTGTGTGTGTCAGAATAGAACTGTGCTTCACAGAGTTTTCAGTGACTGATTTTTCAAAAGTAGATCACCATGTCTTTATTCTGTGTCACCTCTGGGTGGGCTCTAATCACCAACCTTTTCGTTAGTAGCTGTGTATGTTAACTGTTTGCACCACCCAGGAACTGCAGTCTTTGTAGGGCATGTTTTTAATGTAGTTTCATTCATATTTTCTGTTGCATTAGTTTTTAGCTTAACATTACTTGAAAAATAATTATAAATGGTTGCTGAATATCCTGCTAGTGAATGTTTCACAATATCTTTTTGTGGGATCCTTAATTTTTTCTGCTAGCAGTTTGAATAAAGCTTCAGTGAATAGCTTTGCATAAACCTTTAGATAGACTCATTTCCTCGGATATGCAGATATGAAAAATTGCATCAAGGACTATGAACTTAAGGTACATTTTCCAAATTATATTGTATTAGTCTTCATTGCCTTAAAATTATGAGGATACCAATATCATTTAGACCTTTTGAATTATAAATATACTTCACATTCTTAGCAATGAATTTTAGAGAAGCTAAATATTTTCCCATGCTTGTTTACTAATTATTCTTTTTGTCTTTTTCTCACTTTCCATTTTTACCAGTGTATATTCTGAGTCAGCACACAATGTAATAATGACATTATCCACTATTTTTCAGTGTGATGTCAATTTATTTACAGTATGTCTTTATGTTCATTGCTTACATTTTTAGGAAAAAGCTATTTGGTAGTTGAGATTTTGATTTAGTAAAGTATCTTTTTCCTTTGTGATTTCTCCTGTTTTAAGATTAGAATGGCTTTAGTCCAGAGGGTTTAATATATATCTTTTTAAAAGATAAGACAAGAGAGGAAGGTAATTTATGAGTCCTTTTTTAGATTTTTTTGTCTTTCTCTTTTTGAAATATTACCTGATAATTTGTTTTTGAAATATTACCTGATAATTCATACTATCAACATGGATTAATTGGGCCTGTTTCTGGCCACCATTTTCAGTTCTATAGCTTAAGTGACAATTTTCTGAGAGAAAAAGACCTCCACTATTCATTCCAGCATTCTTCTCATAATTACATGGATTTGGTTGCAAGGAAACAGTGGAATCTGATCATTGACCTGAGCTGTTCCCCGGAGTAAGGGCATTTTTCAGTGAGTTAGGTGCACAATTGATTTTTCAGCCCAGGAATTTTTTGGCTCGTTAGTGTAGTACATGTTGTCATTGTCAGTTGCTGTTAGTTCCTACTCATGGTGACCCCGTGTATACAGAGTAGAACTGCTCCATAGGGTTTCAAGGGTGTGACCTTTTGGTTGCAGATGACCAGGCTTGTCTTCAGAGGTGCCTTGGGGTGGATTTGAACTTCCAGCCTTTTGGTTAGTCGTCCAGCACTTAACCATTTGCACCAGCGTTTCATATATATGTGTATATTTTTTAAGGTAATTTTTGTTGTTACTGAGAATACATATACATCAGAACGCTCCTTTCTGAGTTGTTTTTCCCTGTTAACATAAATTCACTGCCCCCTACATTTTCTATCTAGTCTCTGGAATTGCTGTTGTTGATGTGTTCCCACATAAACAGTTCTTAAAAGAGCACAATGCTCAAGACAAACATTCCTTACTAGTAAAGCTAAGCTATTGTTTGGTTTTAAGAAGACTTCAGGGGGTATTTTTGGTTTAAGATTTAAAGTTTAAAGATTATCTCAGGGCAGTAGTGTCATGAGTTCACCCAGCCTCCATGGTTCCAGAAATTCTGGATTCTGTGAGAATTTGAAATTCTGTTCTGTGTTTTATCCCTTTTGATCAGGATTCTTCTGTAGAATCTTTAGTAGGAATTTCCGGTAATGGTAACCAGGTACCATCCAGTTCTTCTGGTCTCATGGCAAAGGAGGCCATTATTCGTGGAGGCAATTAGCCACACATTCCATATTTTCCTCCTATTGCTATTCTTGTTTTTTCTCTGTTGCTTGAGGCTAATGGAGACTAATTTGTACTTTGGATGACCACTTGCAAGCTTATTTAAAAAAAATTCAATTACTTTGTTGTTGAGAATATACATAGCAAAATATATACTAATTCCACAGTTTCTGCATGTACTATTTAGTGACACTGATTACATTCTTTGAGTTGTGCAATATTTTCACCCTCCTTTTCTATGTTGTTCTTCCCTCATGATTGTAATCTCACTGTCTCCCAAGGTTCCTGTCTAATGTTTGAAGTTGGCTGTTGTCAGTTTAATCCCATATAGATAGTTCTTAAAAGAGCATAATGTTGAAGGCATACATTTTTTACTACTTAAGGTGAAATATTTTTTTGTTTTAAGAAGACTTCAGAGGATATTTTTGGTTTAAGGTTTGAGTTTGAAGATTATCTCAGGACAGTAGTTTCAGGGATTCATCCAACCTTCATGGCTCAGGAAGTCTGGAGTCCATGAGAATGTGAAATTCTGTTCTGAATTTTCCCCCTTTTGTTCAGGATTTTTACATGGAATCATTGATCAAAACATTCAGTAATGGTAGCTGGGCACCATCTAGTTCTTCTGGTCTCATGGCAAATGAGGCAATTAGCCACACATCCCATATCCTCCTCCTTTTCCTGATTTTTATTCTTCCTCTGTTGCTTCAGGTGAATAGGGACCAATTGTTGTGCCTTGGATATCTGCATGCAAGCTTTTAAGACCCCAGGTACTATGCAACAGACTAGGAGGTAGAACAGAAGCACTAAACATGTCATTAGGCTAGTTAACTGGGATGTTCCATGAAACCATGACCCTACACCTCCAAACCAAGGAACCAGATGCTATGAGGTTTTTGGTTATACGTAAGCAGCCTTAGCAGTTACTCCTTTTTTTTTGAGGGGGGTCATTATTGTAAATATGTCTATCATACAGCTTCTGCCAGTTAAGCTTCTTATAGGTGTACAGCTTACTTTCAGTAGTTACACTAATTGACTCTGCAACTTAATCACTGTGATATAGCCATCATTAACCTCCCTTTCCCTCCTTCCCACCCCAGGTAACCACTAATAAACTTTGTTCTCTATACATTTGCATTTTCTTGTCTTTTTATGTAAGTGAAGTCATACAATACGTGTTCTCTTATTCTTATTCCACTTAGCATACTGTCTTTTAGCTCTATCCATATTGTTGGATGTATCAATACTTCATTTCTGCTACTGGCTGAGTAGTATTCCATTGTATCTTGTACCAAATTTTATTTATCCGTTCATGTGTTGATGGGCGTTTAGGTTGTTTCCATTTTTTGGCTATTGTGAATATTACTGTAGTGAACATTGGTGTTGTACAAATATCTATTTGAGTATCTGCTTTCAAGTCTTTTGGGTATATACCTAGGAGTGGAATGACTGGGTCACATGGTATTTCTATTTTGAGTTTGTTGAGGAAGCACCACACTCTTCCACAATGGCTGTACCATTTTGAATTCCCACCAGCAATCGGTAAGGGTTCTAATTTCTCCACATCCTCACCAACATTTGTTATTTTCAGAGTTTAAAAAAAAGATTTTTATCTTAGCCATCCTTGTGGAGTAAAATGGTACTTCATCGTGGTTTTGAATTGCATCTCTGTGATGACTAATGACGCTGAGCATCTCTTCTTATGTTTGGTGTCCACTTGAATGCCCTCTTTGATGAAGTGTGTATTCAAGTCCTTTGCCCATTTTATCATTGGGTTATTTGTCTTTTTGTTGTTAAGTTTTCAAAGTTTTCGTATATTTTGGTTCTTAGATTCTTGTTAGATATATGGTTTCCAAAGATACATTCTCCTAGTCGATAGCTTGTCTTTTCACTTTTTGGGTAAAGTCTTTGATGAAGAAATTTATTATGAGGTCCCATTTACTCATTTTGTCTTTTGTTGTTTGTGGTTTTGTCATCATATTAGGTAATCATTGTTAAAAGCTAGGCCTGCCAGCACTGTCCCTGCTGTTTCTTCTAAGAATTTATGGTTTTAGTTTTGACATTTAGGTCCTTAATCCATTTTGAATTTGTTATCGAGTAAGGTATGAGGCATGCATTGTTTCATTTTTCTACATGTGGAAATCCAATTTTCCCAGCACCATTTATTGAAGAGACTGTTCTTTCCTCTTTGAATGGACTTAGCACCCTTATCAAAAATCACTTGACCATAGATGTGTGGGTTTATTTCTGGACTCATTAATCACATATTCTTTTATAAATTCCTAAGTATTATTTAAATCATTCATTATGGTGTACAAGTAGAACCATCTGATTTTCTTATATTTAATTATATTCTGTTTTATTCTAGTATCAACTGATAAACCACACCCAAACTCATTGTCACTGAGTCAATTCCGACTCATAGTGACCCTAAAGGACAGGGTAGAACTGCCCCGTAGGGTTCCCAAGGAGCACCTGGAGGATTTGAACTGCCGACCTTTTGGTTAGCAGCCGTAGCTCTTAACCACTAAACCATCAGGGTTTCTGTATCAACTGATAGTTCTACCTAAATGGTACTAGTTCCTAGGATTACTTTAGACTAGGGATTAATAAACTGTGTGGCCCACTGCATGTTTTTTTAAAAATTTCACACAGCCACACCCATTCATAAACGTATGGTCTCTGGCTACATTGACATCACAGTGGCAGATTTGTGTAATTATAACAGATTAAATGGCAGGTAAGGCCTACGATATTTATCATCTTGCCTTTTATAGAAAAAGTTGGCTAACTTCTGCATTAGAGATCCAAATTAAA